TGTAAATATTTTATTCTCTTTCTACCAGCAAAAACAAAAGAAAATGAAAGTACTATGTGATGACATGAGGGAACTAAAATGCATCTTTTTAAATGTCAAGGCCAAGAAGGTAAAACTACAAACATGAGAGACTATTGCTGCAAATTTCCCGAAGAAGTGTCCAAGTCTTACCCGGTAATTTTGCCTTAACTCTAACGTTTAAACTTTTGTTGTCGTCCAATAAGGTGGTTTACACAGGGGATGACGCGTGTTAATTGTCGTTTTCACTCAACGAGATTATGAAACTTCCTGCCCCCAACAACGAGAGTCTTGAATTTAACGGTAAGTTGAGGGGCGAGGCGGTAGCTACAGTTCAGTGACCTCCCACGCTGTCGTTTTAATGCGGTAGGTGAAATTGTATGACACTCGAAGAAGAAGGGACTTGGAAGTTGGAAGGCTTGTTTGGCCGAATGGCTTTTATAAATTCTTTTTGTTTTCAGGCATTTAGATGTATTCAGCAATGAATGATCATTTTCCTTTTCTTTTTTTTTTTTTTGGTCTGTTGGTGATTATTAGTGGTATTTGGAGTATTGTATTTTGGATGTTTCTAGACAACTGTAGTAGAACAACAGGGGAAATATTGACTTTATAGTGAAATTATGATAGCCACGAGATTGACAGAGATTTTTTGCTGCTAAATCATCCAATCTTACGCCTTATTTGGAATGCAATTTTTCTTCAAATAAAATTTTATGATTTTCATGAACACATATTGTAATTATCTTTTTAAATCACATACATCAAATTATTACGATACAATTTTTCACAAAAATTTCAAAAAATAGCAATCCAAACAAGTTCCGTTGGCCTTGTTTGGGTTGCTATTTTTAAAAAAAAAAAATTACGTTTCATGTGAATACATTTTTTAAATGCCTTTTTACTTTACAGACATTAAATCCCTATAATATATTTCTGTATAAAAAAATCCAGAAAATAGGAATCCAAACGGGTTTGGACCTCCTACACTAAAGTCTTTGGCTAATTTTTTTTTTTTTTTTTCTATTTTTGAGCTTAGGTTTATGCAAAGTTATTAGCCTCCTAGTTATTAATCCTATAATAAGTATATTAGGAAATTCCCGTAGCTATCGTCTTCATCATGATACAGTCCACAGGCATTTGAAAATTGTACCTTTTCCTATTAACGGCTAGGACGCATGTAACCTAAAAGCAACAGCCATTATTGACATCTATGCTCTGGGACTCAAAGCCGGTTGTAATATTATTAGGTTGTTAATACGCACATCTGAACACCTTTTTCCACTTACAATTCGAAATGGTTAGCAATTGATTAAGTGATTAAATCCATGTAATGTTCTACTAATCTCTAAGGACTTCTAATCATGCACAAGTCACATGAACAAGACCAAATTTTCCTTAAAACAATGATCAAGAAAGTAGGAGGAGTCATTTGTTGTGATCTGCACTGCATGTTCATTTCATCATATGACTTGGGAAAACAATCCGTTGACTAAAGATGAAGCACTAAATATCAATCCGGTCATGATCCTCTCTATTCTATACGTTGTATAATTGGATGAAAGAATTTTAAGGGGCACTGTCCCTTCAATCAACGACACATTGCTCCTTATCTAAAGGGCGTTAAAGTTAAAGACAGCCACAGTCCCACAACTTGAATAGGAGAAGACTCGTACCTAATCCATACTAATGCTATTGAGAAGTGTGATGCCCTGTATTTGGGGCACAATTAACTGCCTTAATGGGCATAATTGCATGACTTAAGGTTTGTTTTACAGCCCTAAAAAAATATTTAATGTTAGTCAATGTTTGTTCGTTCCAATTTTGCCTTCGTGTATGTGATTTTGTTTGAAACTCGTGCTTTTTTCCGTGGAATCATGTTCCAATTGTCTGTGGTCACCTGGACAACATCTCAAGGAAGAACGAGGTGATGGCGTCACTGTAATGGTTAGCCTGTTTATGGTTTTCTTTCATATCCACGGTCATCAATAAGTTGTACTTAACCATCAAATATCTCTCCTTTAATTTTTCGAGCAAATTATCCGGATGGCCACACTGAACTTTTAGAATCGTCGAGCTTTGATTGCTGAATTATTAAAAATCTGATTTTAGTCACTGAACTATCTAAAATTTAGATTTCGGATCATTTCGTTAGATTTGATCGCTAACTATGCCAGATCTGAGTTCCGTCGCATTATTCACGAGACCCAAAGAAAGAGACATAGTTAACGAATAAAATTTGACGGAATGACCTGAAGTTTAAATTTCAAATAGTTCAGTGATCAAAATCAGACTTTTAATAGCTTAGTGATCAAAACTCAACGATTCCAAAAGTTTAGTGACCATCCTGATAATTTGCTCTAATTTTTTTACGCCCATGGTTGAGCTGAATCATATAATAGTTACCCCAAGTTTCCCTTTTTGTGGCCACTTTCAAAGGACGACTAACTCATTAGAGAATTACTTATTCACGTGAGATGTAACAAATTCTTGTGAAATTTGTCTGACTGGTTAAACCAAAAAAAAAAAAAAAAAACTGTGGGAGACATTAGTCCTGAATTTTGTCAATTAAATTTAACAAACCAACGCCATAATTCAGAGCCTCAGTTGATTTTGCAGCTATTTGGACTAGTACGTAGCACTAATCACCGTCAACCATTCGATTCAACAACTAAATTAATAAGGTGAGAATTCGGGCCGCTCATGTGCTTGAAACTTCTCGCAGGCTTCACTTTTGATCAAGTCCAGTTTACCTAAGCAATGAGACTCGTCAACAACCTTCTCGCCTGACAATCCAATATATGTTGACAGCCACGTACAATTTCTTGACATTGACTCACGATTCGTCCCACCAAACTAATTATTCGGTTCCAGAAAATACAGGCAGTTTCCTTTCACATTTGGTCCCTAATAAAAGATGCAATGCAGATATTTTACTTGAGACATGTATGTTCTGGAGCTAGGATCCTGCCCGAGCGCTTTTTGCAGAGATATTTTGTTGGTGGGGGTCGAGGAAGGAAGCAGATGTGTTGTTGTTTAAGATGAGCATTACAATTGCATTGTTGTAGTTCTTGTGTTCGGATTCGAGGGCTGTCTTGTCGGTTGTCAGGTTCAATATGTCAACTTGAGACAATGCACGTTAGGCAAAATGGGAAATTGATCAGAGGAAAACATTTTCTACAAAAATTAATTTGGAATCTCACTCTCGCCATATTCATTCGCCTTTTGCTAAACGTCCGACAGAGCCACCTATAACCTGGCTCCATTGGCCCAATTTTGGTAGTTTTGAGGCTAATACGTGTTTTATGTGGAGAACAGAGACACACACACACACACACACACACACACATATATATATATATATATATATATATATATATATATATATATATATATATATTACAAAAACTTGCCGAGAAGAGTTTGGTTTAATGTTGATAAGATTGAGGTCCCAATAATTAGAGGCGGTAGGTTCAAGTTTCATGTAGTATGAGTTTATTCCAACTATAAGTTAGTCTTCATCTCACTCTTTGTAGATCATTAGTTGAATGTTAGTTGTTTTGATCCCAACAATTTCTAACAAATATATTACAAGGATAATATTAAGGGAAAATGACATGTTTCATCCCTCACATTTCGTAAAAATATTATGTTCATCCCTCACTTTTAAAATGAAGCAAATTCATTCCTGACATTTAAAAATTAAAGTTATTATATTCCTGAACCTAATTTTCAATCTGAATCAAACCACCCAATAAATAAATTTCGAAAATAGAATTAATAGATCATTCGGTCAATTTCATCATATTCACATGACATTTATTAAACAAAAAAAATAAAAATTATAACATAAAAGGCCATTCTTTATCTTGGAATAGTAGAGTTTTTTTTTTTGGTAAATCTTTTCATACACCGTTAGTATGCCTGCTTGCGAATCTAGATGTGTATCATACATATAAAATGTGGTGTTTAAATTTAAATTAAAATGATATGGCGGTACATAAAACCGTCAGTGTATACAATGATAATGTAGAAAAGATTAATCTTTCTTTTTTATGTTATAATTTTTTATTTTATTTTTAGGTTAATTAAATTTCACATGAATATCAAATTGAGTTAACCAAGTGATCTACCAATTACCCCCCCTCGAAATTTGTAATCAGGTTGATTGGTGGTTTGACTCAGATTGAAATTTGGGTTCAGGATGTAATAGTTTTAGTTTTTAAATGTCAATGACGAAATTGGTTCATTTTAAAAGTGAGGGACGAAAAGAATATTTTTGTGAAATGTGAAGGATGAAACCGATCATTTTTCCTAATATTAATTAGTCTATTTCAAGTCATAAATTGCATCAGCAACCATTGCTAAGAGACATCCCGCTATATATATATTTAGTCATTTGAAAGTTAAGTTTCTTTGATTAATAATAATAAAAAAAGAGGTATATTTTGTACTCTATTTGTGTATCCCTTCTAAGTACTCTATTTCATTTGGTATTTCGTAGGTATGAATAAAAGATTGCTCTCCCACGACCCCGTTTTCATGGTTTAGGCTGCTCCCATTTCACTCGCCGCTACTACAAGAATCGCTTTTGCTTTCTTTTCCTCTAGCTACTAAAATGTTTCAGTTTAATTATAATCCATATCTTTTGATCCAACTATGTGGGTGATCTGTAATCAGGTTTTAACAAAAAGAAGGAAATAATTTGCTCCATTTCACCACTAAAGTTTTTTTGATTGATAAAGGAATCCAGAACTGCTACTCGAGAGTGTACATTAGGTAAATCCTGCCCTGTACAATAGTCCTTCGCGCTAAAGTTTGTTTGCCACTAAACTTTATTGGCTGTTTTGTTGAATCGTACCTCATAACCACTCATCTATCGACCAAAACATCTGAGCAAGCTGGAAGGATATATAGTCAGTAGTCAGACGCTTCTCAAATACAAAACGTTAATTCCAAACCAAAATAGAACAAAAGGGCAAAGGTTAGAAAATCAAAAAGGAACATTTTGATATCAGAGTTGAATATGGCACCAATGTACATTCAAACCAGGCTGCGAATGGTACATTAACAAAACGAACAAAATAGATACACTATGGGATTAACCAAATATAACAAATGACACCGAAGAAAACCAAACGATCAAAAAATGGAAAAAAAAATAAACAAACCTCAATTCAAGAATAACATAAGACTTCAGAATCAGGGGCTGGGTATTAAGTTACTATATATATATTACAAATCAATATCACAGAAGGTCCTCTCGAAATTCCTGGATGAAGAGAAATGAACCACAAGAGGGCCACATAAAAGCCTTAAGGTACGATGAGATTTAATTGCTCCAACCTTGAACCTTATCTTCGCCTTCACTCGAACCTCAACTTCGATCTCCCCGGTACTTCTTTCCATCCTCAGGTTTCTTGCAGTCCCTGGAAACAGGCCAGCGTTAGTGGCGACAAGATCTAGCCCCAGATGAGTCACATTTCGTCGAGGCTGATAAAAGGGCTGGACATTGTTGAATGCAACAGTCGAATCATCGTATAAAACTCTGGTCTCAATTCTGTCATAGTAAATTGAGACCTTGCTGTTGGGGTTGTACGCTCTCAGCTCAAAATTGAAGGTGGCATTGAGATGATCATCGGTTAAATTGTAGTTATGAATTGAGCCAGACTCAATTGTATAGACAAGCTTTCGAGGCTTGACTGCTAACCAAATGACGATCACAGCTATGCCTACAAGGAGAATCAGAGCTAGTAAGATCATAGCAATGATTCTGAGTAGCGTTGAATGGGCGGGCGAGGCAGCAATTTGTCCGGGTGCTCGTGAATTGGCCATTTGCAAATTTGGTCGCGCAAGAAGAAATGCTCCTATGCAGGGGCTTGTGCTCTGGAGATGTCAGTTGTTTTATACAGATGAAAAGGTTGAGAATGTTTGCTTGGAGAAGCTACAGCAATCATCTTCTATCTGGTATTAAATTATCTTCTTTCCTCTATTCCAGGGGAGAAAGGTAAAGTGGATATGATGCCTCCATTACCTCTTCTTTTCCTTTTTACACTTTTTTCACTTTACATTTCTTGCTTGAAAATGAAGGTATCCTGCAACTGCAGATTCCAATTTGCATGAACTGGACATGAATGTGCTTGTCTTGCATAGCTGAAAAAGGCATCATAAGCTACCAATCAACTGCATTTGAGGGACTATCTTTGACGAGAATGTTGGTATCTTCATATCTCAGCTGGAAAGTTCTTGCTTAAACTCCAAGATGTTCGAATGTATCATGCGATTATTTTGCTAATCCTAGATGGTCTGTGCTTAGTAAAAAGCATTTACATCACAGGTTTAACTACTCCAAAATGGGCATTTTTTTTTAATATATCTTAAATAGGGGCCTGAACAACTGAGCTTCCCGAACCAGTAATTCTATTTGGAACATCACAAAAAGTTGCCATTGTTAGAACAGATTTCGGATATCAGAAAATGGTTAGGATATGTTGCAACATTTCATACTTATGAGCTTATACACCACTTGAGAAGAGAAAAAATTTGAAGAAAAAAAATGGCAGTCGAAACAGATAAACTAGGAAGTAAAATTCTTTGGGCTGCATCAAGGCATCGACAAACTGGCGCAAGAGCTTCCTTCGCCAATTATGATATGATGACAGGGGCTCTCATTCTTGTGGGAACATCGCACTTTGATTTCAAGAAACAGTTTTTACCCAAATTGGTCAATTTGGTGCAGTTATACATGATCACATTGCTTTAATTAGACAAACTTCAAAATAGCACATCCAACAAAATTGCGCCAAATTGAGAAATCAGGTGGAAAAAAATCCGGGATCTAAAAAATTAGTTGGATAATGGAAATTAAAGCAAGTTACTAGCCCGAGACACTAACTTAGCCACGAGTAAAAGGAATTATTGTAGTCATTAAGGCTTAAAATTGATGATCTAGCAATTTAGGACCAATTTAGCTTCGTCATAATTGTAAGAGCTCCTAACCTAAAAGATAAGGAAGAAAACCCTCTTTAATGATAGCCCTTGATTCCTTAATTGGCAACTAAATGAAGCCTAAAAAACCCATGAATAAACGATAAGAAAGAAAGGAGGCCTAAACTTTAGGATGCACGTAAAAGTAAACAACCATGTTAAATGATCATTATCTAATGGATATGAAAGCCGCACTCAGGTGCTTTGCTTCGGTCATTGGGGCAGGACGGTCACCAGAAAGATTGTCCTTGCACAATTTATGGCCAAGATTTGATCACAAAAAAATGTATAGTTCAAATTACGTCTTGTACCTCAATTTTCACTACGTGTGTAAGGCCTACAAAATTTTGTTCTAAAATTATACATTGTGCAAATAGAATTACGCCCGCGTGCAAATAAAATGCACAAAACCGCTGCCTGCCCGTGGTCCTGATTCAAGTATAGACGAACTCTTGAAATAAACGTGAGATATATCATATGTGGGTGGAAGCAAGCAAGCAAGCATGGGAGTAGGAACTGACACTTGAGACTATACATGCCACACCAGAAATTCTAACCCTCTATGTGTCCGTGCATGGATATAGCTAGGGTGTTCATTGGTCGGTAATCAAGAGTTTGGTAAAAAATATTTCGAGAATTTGGCAATCAGTTTGTCAAGACTAATGCTTGATTAATGTCCAAACTTTAGTTTGGCAAACTGGACATTGATAATTAGATTTTGGTTCAGTACGTAATATCCCAAATGCTAATAGTAAGTTAAAATATTTTAATATTTTCTAAAGAAAATAATATCCCATATGTTTTTTCCAACAAAATTCAATTAAAAAAAAAAAGCACCAGTACAACAGTCATTAACTCATCATCACATTAAGTAAAGAAAAAATAAAAAGTCTTAAGAAACAAATACTAACGACTAATTGGAGTACTTATTAGTCAATAACTAAACTAATCAGTAAATCTGTCAGTAGTAATTATATGTGTGTATGTAACTAGTTAGAAGTCACTAGTCAATAGCTAAGTAATTATTAATTACTAATTAGTATTTAGTAATATGTATGGATATAACTAATATATATATATATATATATATATATAGAGAGAGAGAGAGAGAGAGAGTAAAATTTTGAAAATTCGACCTATAATCAGTAATATATTTTTAAAATCCATTTCCGAACCATTTTATCAAACAATTAAATTGGATGTATTTCGATTTTATCAAATTCTAAATTGCCGAAATCCCAAAATCCAATCTAGATTGTATTGGCCGATTTTTCAATTTTTTCCGAAATTTGAACACCCTAGATATAAGGGACTTTTTTAATTTTCATGAGGAAAAGAAAGACATTGTTATGCACTTTGCTTGATTGATTGTCACAATTCGATCACACTTCCATCCTTTTTGAGGGTTAGAATTTTAAATTTGCTTTTAAGTATGTGCTGGACTCAGAAATTTTAGGTTCAAAAAAAAAAAAATTCATTCTCTCTTCCTGGGAGGTAGAACCAATCTACTAGAAAAGAAAAACTTCGACTTGATTGTTTATTCTGAACTGTTAAGATCAACAGCCCTTGAATCTGGTAGGATTTTGTTTGGTGTGGTGGTGTAGGATTATCGTATTTAATACATATTTTCATAAACATCTGTATATATAAAGCATGAGTATTTTTTGGTGTTAGAATTTTCTATCATTTAATAGATTATCTAACATACGCACCATTCTTCTTTAAACTTTTACAATCTATTTCCCCTTATTTCTCTTACCCGCACTCCCTTCTTTCTCTCAATAATATGTGGTATAACTTCCTCCAAACTACCACTAATTTGTACAAAGTTTTCTCACCCCTTAATTTGTACTTGATGTAGGAGAAATACAAGCCAAATTAGTGAGCTCAAAGTCAATACAACTGCACCAAACCATAGTTGCATCTCCCTGTGTCCATATTACACAACCGGCTGACTTTTTGGAGCTCTGTGGTACGTTGATGTAGAAGAAATTTTATAGTACTTATTGATCCTTTTTGCCATATGCCCATCATATTGCGTTACCCATTTTTTTCCTCTGCCGGTAAAGCAAGTTATCATCTTCTAAGTCAATTGAATATTTAATTTACCTTAGGCTTAAAATCAGTAGCAGAAGAATTTAGCTGGTGTGATTCCCATGATCTCTATGCGATTTTCTTCCCTTCCCTTGGTTGTTTGTTCCCTCTTTACTTTGAGACTGATTTGAAAAAGCCACCCTCAGGAGGTGTAATAACACTACTATGATATCCAGAGTAGAATCCTACCAAATTGACAAGCCAAATTACATCATTTGGATTTGCAAAGAATATTATGACATTAGAATTGCACTGGATGCTGAACTCAGATCACTAGAATTAGGCATTGTTCTCATCACCAAATTCTGGGGTTTTGGGCTTAAGTCATCTTCCAACTCATATGGGACAGCTCAGGCACATGACGCATCAAATTTCTCTTCTTTTGTTTGAAATCTATTTGACAATTAAATTTCCATGTCTGGGAATTTACTTGTGTATACACTCAATTGCCTTATTTGACATACTTTTTTTTCTTGTTGAAGAGGCGATGCATATAGCAAGAAAAAGAGAGGAGCAACTAAAAAAAGTAAGTTGGTGAGACGTAAACTTAGTGCTATTGGTGGATTTTCCACAAGACGTCCTCTATAGCTATGAATTCCTTGATTGGGACACTTGTTATGAATTAGAAGCTGACCAATATTTTTCACGCCTGATTTTCAACAATTAATTCCATCTGTATTGAACCATTAAGTATCACAATTCCTAGCATTTGTGAATTACTTCAAGATCGTTTCTTATAATTTTAGCAGAAAAACAAATTTCAACTCATCAAATATTTATCCTTATTTGTTAAAAAAATGTATAAATTACAGCGAAAATACATAAAAACAGATGAAAGAAGTTTAAAAATCACGAATTGAGGCCCTCATTTATCATCGTTCCCAAGCAAGAAATGTCACCTTGTGCAGCAGAGACTGTAATTGTCGAAATTCAAGCCTGACAAAGATTAATTGTGCAAACCTAAGTCAGCAATCCCAAACACAACAAGTACATTAATTCTTCAACTATTCTCCTTAACACAAACAAATATCCCGAAATTTGCATATGGATGCTAGATAATTAAAACAGAGGGTGACCTGTGGAATTTCCAGTTGTTACAAGCTAGGAGGAGGGAAAAAAATTGTGGGCAGGCAAAAGCAAATGTAGTAGTACGTGCTAAAAAAAGCGAAAAAGTGTAGGAATCAAATGTGGAGCAATGGAAGTGGTCGCGCATATCCCTTGGAAGATGCCATCCTTAGGAAAACCGTGGCAGAAGGAAGCATATTCTACCTACACTATAAGCTTCTCCACATGCACATATGATATATAAATTGACCTTTAAACTATAACACTAACTATTACTCTCCTCAGCTAGCAACCCTTTTCAGTTGCATAAGATTTTTCTGTATCCCTGGCTAGCTCTTTTATATATATATATATACACACACACACATACAGATGTTACTTTTGCTTTTACGATCAAAAAATCCCTGCTGCTGCTGGGCTGTGCCTGGCAGCAGTTACAGGACTGCTTGTACTTTTTAGGCCATCGAGTCTTGATCGCTGTTGAATTGGGAGAAATGGGATGATCAGTTGGTTTGAAGATTTCTTCTTTTCTTCCTCAGGGCAACTTCAATCCTTTGGCATTTTCTTCTCTCCTGCTTTCATCTTGCTGTGTAATATTCCGTTGGCTTTAAAGGGTCTTGGGAATATGATGATGGCAAGTTTGATTCAACTTGTTTTGCTATGAATATCACGTCTTAAATTCCTAATGTTGTTTCTTCTGTTCTCGTAGTGGTGTGTGAAATAAAAGATCACTGTATTAACTATTATGGTGATTGAACATATGGGTTTTCCCACAATATTCCAGGCTATGTATGTATTTGCAATATGATTAGCAGTACAACATCTTGTTTCTGGCTTGTACGTTGCATCTTTGGTTCTGTACTATATTCCTTATATTTCTTTATCTCTTTGTATTTGTCAAAGAAGTTGAAGCCAATAGCATATGAATGGCACACATCTTAGTGATATATATGGTAGGGCAATGCAGATTTGCTGTTGGACAAACCAATCCAAATGAGCAGTTGTGGCACTACGAATCTCCACCTTCGGACATGGATAATTTGAACCCCACTTAATTGGCATCCTAAGAGCACATCATGCCTTTACATGTATGTGAACATTAATAAAGTTTGCATGATAATTGGCTAATAAGG